GTATACCATGCTACTTCAATTTCAAGATAACAGAAGAATTTTCCAGGATGAAAGACCATGCGATTTCCAGATAACAAGTATGGTATTGTAGACATGGCTGCATACACCCAAACTAAAACAATACCAAGTTTTGTAGACTTCATCGTAAAGTATTTCCTGTACTTGTTTGGCTTTACGACACGAAAGTATCTGTTAACAGAGGTACACGCCAAACATTGCACCGATGCGAGCGCTAGGGAAACTGCTAAGAAACCGTTATAGTGACAAGCTGCATCTCCAAAAGGCCAGTGACCAACAACATTAACGGTGAAACACATTGGGAATACCAATAAGCACAATCCAATGTCAGAAAATGCCAATGATACGATGAAAAAGTTGGGTACGGTTCGAAGTTGACGATTTTTGTAAACTATGAAGAGTGTCATGGCGTTCCCGACGAGTATCAGAAGTCCAATGGCTAGAAAAACCCCACATTCAAATACAACACGAGCAGTGCTTCGTGATTGCAATTCAGCAGCAAACCTAGCCAATATAGCTTTGTGATTCATTTTGTTGCAGTACATCTAGTGTGGTTCACGGGTAATTTCAGTTGCTTTGAATGATTATAATAATGGCACACCTTGCCTGTTACTTATGTATCTCCGCATTTGATTTCTAAATGTTATAAAAAATTTATTTAAACATGCAGAGTAATATTACCATAACTACCAATTATCAAAAAAATGAAATAAAATAAATTAAATTAAAATAAAATAAAATAAAAATTACGTCTGTTGACAAAAAGAAGGAATGGTCTTTTGACGCTGCGCAAGCCAAGAATTAGCTGACGCATACAAGTAAGAGTTAGTTACCGAGAACGGAGGCATTACGCCAACAGCCAAAACTAACAACCTTAGTTTACAATTCACTTGGTTTGCGCTAAAACTGAATAGACTAAACGAATGTTTTCTTTGTTGGGATTCGAACAATAGAATCCTCTCCTCTCGGACTTTTCATGCCCTGTTGAAATTAGTTTCTTTTAACACCTGTTCATGCAAGAGCGCGCAATCGAAATCTGAATTTGGTTATCAAATATTCTTTAATGGCACGCATTCTGGAAACGATGTCGAACAGTAACGACGATTAATTTATATATAGCTCATATATAGCATCATTCCTTTGACGAACTTTGATATATTGACGCTTTTCTATCGGATTTGGAACTACGTATACCTATGCCCGCAAATAACGATGGCAAATCTGCAGAAGAGAAAAAAGAAGAGAAAAAAAAAAAAAAAACGAGAGAAGAATATCCAGAAGGAACTAATTTAGTACCAAAGGGTGTGTACGTGCTTGGATAGAATGGGCAAAGGAGTGAAGAGATACGTTTATTCCGACGTATTTGACTCTAATTAACGAAGAACTTGGCTATTTTTGTCTGTCTAAGACCGGCGGCCATGTTGGATGGCCGTTGTGGCGTAACATTTTATGTCGTCAAGAGTGTGTTAATAAGAGAAGATACAATCGAAATCGTGCGCAATTTGTTAAATGTTGTCTGTATCTGCTTCATAAATGTTTTTAGAAATTTCTATTTTTTTGGTGTCAGTTTTCCTGATATTTAACAAGCGATATTGAGATCGTATTTTAATGTTTTTTTTTCTATTGATAAATACATAGGTTTTCTCTAAGTAGATACTGATTACTGATGTATACTTCCTCTTTATACCAAGTGGAAATCCCAAATAAATATTTAATAAATCATATTTACAATTTTACCATTCATTCTTGTATAATGACCATTTATGTATAGTTTAGAACACGAGAGAGTGTTTTATCAGGTATAAAGACTCGAGCCGAAGCCGAAGTTAGGTTTAGGGTCTTTATATCTGATAAGAGTTTTATCAGCTATATAAAAAAGGTCCATGCATGTGACCAAACTGGCTCATTCTATTTGCCTAATAACTCATTAATTATGTATGAGTTTTTGAAAATTTACAT